ATATTTGATAAACACAGTGTGAAAAATACTCTTAAGTATTAAGGATATCATAGTAAATATAAGCTTCCTGTCTTACACAGCTTAGAGTGTTGTGAGGGAGACAATAATTTTAATAAGGACTTTAGACTCTACATGAGGGTAAGGGCTGGGTGCTGTGGGCACTCTTAACAGAGGCAGATCCCCAGGTTGAAAGTGTCAGAGGACATTTCCCAGACTGCCTTCCAAGCTGAGACTTGAGGACTGTGTGGGAATGAATGAGGAGCAGATTTGGTAGGGATGTTAGAGAAGTGAGGAGGAGAATGAAGAGTGTTTTAGGTCAAAGGAATAGTGTATGTGAAGGCCCGAAATGAGAAACTAGCACACGTGATAAACTGAAATGCAGCTGTGGGTGCTGTGGGCTTGGTCAGCACCATGAAGCGGAAGAAAGCCATGTTTGACTTCTCTTCTGTTTTCCTTACACCCTGTACTCCATCTCAGTAAATCCCAGCGGCTCCACCCTCAACATACATTCAGAATCAGACTACTCTCAGCCCCTTGACTGCCTGTTCCACCCACCATGTCCAAGCCACCATCATCTCTTGTCTGAGGTTCCACACTAGTTTCTTCACTGGTGTCCTCACCTCCCTGCTTCCTCCTATAGAGTCTCCACATTATAACCAGTTATCACTGAATAATGAAAATCAGGTCATGGCACTCCTCAAATCTTCAAAAGCTTGCTTTCTCACAGTAAAAGCCAGTGTCTTTCCAAAGGCCTGGAGTACGATATGATCTGAGGTCACACTCCTTCTCTGACTTTACATCCTGTTCTGACCCATTTGTTCTTTCCACTGCAGCCACTGGCCTCATTGCTATTCCTCAAACATACCAGGCATGCTCCAGCTTAAAGTCCTTTGTACTTGCTGTGTACTTCCCGTGGCCTAAATTCTTTTCTCCAGGTAACCACAAAACATATGCCTTCACTTCTTTATTTACACTCAGGTGTTACCCTATTAATCAGAGAAGTGACACTTTAACCTTCTTATGGAAAATGGTAACTCTGGCCTCTGCATATGCCTTTTCTTTCTATTTCTCACACATAATACATTAAATATTCGCTTTAAAATTTTGCTTATATCTTTTTCAACTACAAATATAGTTTCTGTGGAAGTGAGTAATTCGTTTTGTGCACTATCATTTGTATTCCTGGTGCCTAGAAGCAGTTTTCCATATTTATTTATTAAGTTAATTTAAAAAATGGGCATATAGTGCAGGGAGCTGGCATGTTTCCATTTGGAAATTTTCTCTGGCTGCAGTGTGGAGAATGGACTGGCAGGGATCGAGATCTGAAGGTGAATTCTTAGGAGCTGTGTGCTTCTGTGGCTGAACATTTGAGTTACTGCTGATATTTAACATTTTTCAACAATATGCATGTTGAAAAAAATCTCATTTCTTTATTCACTGAGGTCTATGTGAGCTCTTAATGTGTGTGTTTACCATTACTTCTAGCAGGTAGAGTGATGCAGACATCTTGCATTGGCCCTCCACTAATTTGGGGTTGCTTCATTTATCCCTAAAGTGTGTCTCCAACAGAACCAGGCTTGCTCAGCCTCTCCAGTGACTGGGGAGATCAGTGGGATGGACCAGCTGTGACTGAAAATGCTCTAAGTTCTTCTTTATAATTGGGTGGCAATCAAATGTGTGTTTACCCATAAACACCAGCTAGGCCAGGCTATAACATGTCAGCTGTAATTAGGCAGCCAATTTAGCACATCAGTGCTATCATGTAAAGTAAGCCCTGTCACCTCAGCCTCCAACAGAAAAGGTGCAATCAAGTTTAACCTGCAAATAGATTGCTTTTTGGAAGTCAGGAATCAGTTTATGCCATTATCATATCTGACATTCTCAAGATTACACAGTTTTGTAGTTTCTAGGCCGTAATTATCCTGAATTATATCCAGTGTTGCCAGTTTCACAATAATCTATGTATAAATCACTGTATTTAGTAGAGAATTGCATAATAAAACATGTAAGCAGCTGCATTGCTAGTCATATGCTGTTAAAATGTAACATGGAGCTCAGATGATTTTATATTTTAAAATACAAATGTATGTTCTTTACATCTGAAGTCACTTCTTTAAAGTGACTTCAGATGTATGTTAGCAGATAAACTCGCCTCTAAAGTAGAGTATTTTGCCTATCTGAATATTGTTGACACAACTTAATTTTTGGAAAGTTTTTTTTTACTATTTATTTTATTTTTTGCTACCTCTTATAAACAAATCACGCTGAAATCGTTTGCCATATCTGCAGGCCCTTAATACTTGTTAATATAGGAGGTCCTTGTTCTCTCAATATTAATGTGTGTGTGTGTGTGTGTGTGTGTGTGTGTGTGTGCGCGTGCTCAGTCATATCTGACTCTTTGCAATCCCATGGACTGCAGCACACCAGGTTCCTCTGCCCATGGAATTTTCCAGGCAAGAATACCAGACTGGGTTGTTGTTTCCTTTTCCAGGGGATCTTCTCAACCCAGAGATCAAATCCATATCTCTTGCATTCCCTGCATTATCAGGCAGATTCTTTACCATTGTGCTACCTGGGAAGGCCCTTAGTATTAAAAGTCCACTTAAATGAATCAATAGCAAATGAGCATCAGGAATTCAAAGTAAATAGTGAAAAAAGTTTGTTTCTTAATCCTGAAGAATAAAATTGAACTCAAAAGTGAATGTATTTTATCTTTATTTAGTCTAATAATTATGTATTCATACCAATTATTAGAATGTACAAAGATACAAACTACAAATGATCACTCAAGAAATGATAGATAACCTAAAGAGCCCTTTGCATTAAATAATTTAAATTTGTAGTCTTAAACCTTACCACAAAGAAAGCCCAGGGCCAGAGAGCTTCACAAGTGAATTCCACCAAACATTTAAGGGAGAAATAAAACTGATTCTGCACAAACTCTTCTGGAAATGTGAAGAGGGATGGATACTTCCTAACTCATTCTATGAGGGCAGTTTCCCCCTGATACCAAAACCAGTTACTTGTTTACCTATGCTTATGTTTATTATTGGGGCTTCCCAGGTTAAGAACTTGGCGCTAGTGGTTAAGAACCCACCTGCCAATGCAGGAGATATAAGATCCCTGGGTCAGGAAGATCCCCTGGAGGAGGGCATGGCAACCCTCTCCTGTATTCTTGCCGGGAAAATCACATGGACAGAGGAGCCTGGAGGGCTCTATAGGGTTGCAAAGAGTCGGACACGACTGAAGTGACTTAGAAGGCACATGATTATTAAAATACACTTTTGTGTTGAACTGAAGAAGTGGTTTTCAAACATGATCATGCATAAGAATACCTGTGGGAGCCTGTTAGATGTGCAGATTGCCAGGCTGTCTCTTCTCCCCCAGGGGTCCTGAATCATGGGTGTGGTGCTGGTGGCGGGGGCATCCAGAAATTGCAAGTTCAGTAAGCTTCCCAGGCAATTTTGATGTATGTATGCATGCATAGACTATATTTCAGGATCACTTCTTAGCAGAACATTGTTGACATCAAAATTGCATGAACCTGGATGAACCCTGTGGACCACTGGTGCCAGGTTGAAATAGTATTCTTGATCTGGTTCTACATGTGTGTTTACACCAACCTGTCAGAAAGGGGAGCTGACTTATTTGGAAGGGGTGACACATTTTCATTTTGTCTGTGCTGGCTGATATTCATGATGCCTGCTCTCATTAGAACATAAAAGTTGTACAGGTGATTGAAAAAATTAAGTTGGTAAAGGTTTTTCTTTCCTCCATTTCTTCTCCTGCATATTATTCATTGACCTGCATTTAGTGTTTTGTATAATATTCATGCACTATAGATCATGTTTTCACCAGACCTTTCAATAGTGAAAGGACAGGAGCACCAGATGGAACTATTTTTTATTTTATCTGATACCTTTAAAAACTAAACATGCAGTAGTGCGTGCATGCATGCTAAGTAGCTTCAGTCGTGTCCGACTCCTTATGACCCTAGGGACCATAGCCCATCAGGCTCCTCTGTCCGTGGGATTCTCCACTGAAGTGGATTGCTATGCCCTCCTCCAGTAGGTCTTCCTGACCCAGGGTTTGAACCCGCTTCTCTTATGTCTCCTGCATGTAGTAGAAGCAATATTAATTCACCACTTTTAAATTTGAGATCATGGAGAGCAGTAAAGCCTTCCCATAATGCATTCATTTTTGTGCCTTTCCAGGGATAAATTTATGTCATCTATCAAAGTATAGCATGTTTTACCTTCTTAAGCACTTATAAACTGCCAGGAAGTAATGTTTTTTGTGTTTGTTTTGTTAGAAATAATGCCTTGGTGTGATCAGAGTGGTGGGGGTGGTGGGGTGGGGAGAAGGGGAGACAGCCATTTGCTTCCTGGCCTGATCCCCATCAGTGACAAGCATGGCAGTACTGGCAGCTGTTGTCACGGAGTCCTAGAGCTGTGGAACACAATTTTTCTTGCAGTAAATGAGAGCAGCTGTGTAGTATAGAGCTCATGACTTCAGGATTTTGTACTGGATGTACTATTAAGAGTGAACTGACTTTGCCTTTGGGTCAAAAGGCTATGGGGCCAGGTATATACAACATGTCTGGGGTTTTGAAGATAGGGGCCAGTTTTAACTCGACTGTGCTGATCTGTCTTTTCTGGAAAAAAAAAAAAGGCAGAGCTTTTAATAGAACCAATATTCTAGGTCTCGAGTATGTGATTTGATCATTAAAAAACATATATGTGAAAGTGAAGAAGAAATGTATACTGTAGACAGATCATAATGCAGAACTAAAAAGCAGAAAACTGGACTACTTTTAAAAAGTTACGCATGCATTTCTGAACCTGAAGAATGAGTGTCAAATATATCTGAAAAAAATCAAAGTTTGATTGCTTGCTTAGGGGATCATAGATGGTTTGTTCACTCTCATAAGTGATGTGGCTGGATAGTCCTTACTGCCTTTTTAGTAGTATATTTTTTGTTTGTTTGTTTGTTTTCCACAGATATGATGCAATTATTATCTCAGGAACTGAAATGGCCAAACAAATCCAGAAAGAAATCCAGCATGGCGTGGACTCGTGGGTTTCCCTTGGGAACAGAAGGCCTCACCTCAGTATCATATTAGTGGGTGATAACCCAGCAAGCCACACATATGTCAGGAGGAAGATCAAAGCCGCAGCTGCTGTAGGTGGGGAGCACTTTAGCTGTACTTGTTACTAGATAACGTTTCCTGGTTTTACTTCAAAGTGTGATAATTATGAGTGATAACTGTTGACTAAATGCTATTTGAATAGCATGTGTTATTATTATTTATTGCCATTCTGTTGATTATTTAGTTCCCAACATTCACATTCATTTCTTACTCTTTTTTTCCTTCAAATTTCTTTAAATCAACTTGGTGTGATTTCTTATCCTATTGGGAAACATGAGAGCAACTTGTTACATTTTAAGGGCCTTTTTTTTTAAAAAAAAAAATCACATTAACCTGCCTAGTTCATGGTGGTGGTGGTGGTGGTGGTACTGGTATTTTTACTCTCCTCAAATCCATTAACAGCAGCTCATCACAAATAAGTGCAATTTGTCACAGGGAATACTGGGCCAAAGAATGCATGTGAATCATAAGAAAACATCTGTACCATTTAAAAGTTCCCTCCTGATGGTGCTTTGAACATCACTTTTGTAGAAGGGCCTTTTCTTTCAGTGGGACAAGAACAGAGGGAACCAATCAAACACCGTGTAAGACACCATTAATGAAATACACATCTTTGTTAGTCCAGTGACTTTCTGTTCTTGTTTTTCTTTCAGGTATCTGTAGTGAGATCATTCTAAAACCTAAGGATGTTTCTCAGGAAGAACTGTTGGATATAACTGATCACTTGAACGCGGACCCGAGCGTCAGTGGTATATTAGTTCAGTTGCCACTGCCAGGTATATAATGCTCTTCTGTGTGTCTAATTCAGTTAGGGACAAGGACATCTTTCAACATTATGTCATGACACCACAAGTCATTTATAAAATAGGTTTGGAAGGGGACTAGCTATTATAGTCACATTCAGGGTGGCAATTTCTGAATGACATGTTTATAGTGACTGAAAATTGTGAAAGAAATCTTTATGCTTTGGCAATAATACATGCAGTTCTTGTTTTGCACAATAGTGCAAGACCATGAAAATGACTAAGTTGAAATCGGGCAAAGGATCTTAACAAATCAATAGGAAAATAACAATTGTTCTTGACCTTTAAAATGTTTTCTCGAAACATTAAAACCTCTTTTACCACGGTTTATAAATGTGTAAGGAGATGAAAGCTGTGGTTTTTCCAGTAGTCATGTATGGATGTGAGAGTTGGACTATAAAGAAAGCTGAGTGCCAAAGAATTGATGCTTTTGAACTGTGGTGTTGGAGAAGACTCTTGAGAGTCCCTTGGACTGCAAGGAGATCCAACCAGTCCATCCTAAACAAAGTCAGTTCTGAGTGTTCATTGGAAGGACTGATGTTGAAGCTGAAACTCCGCTACTTTGACCACCTGATGTGAAGAGCTGACTTCAATGGAAAAGACCCTGATGCTGGGAAAGATTGAGGGCGGGAGGAGAAGGGGACGACAGAGGATGAGATGGTTGGATGGCATCACCAACTCAATGGAGATGAGTTTGAGTAAACTCCGGGAATTGGTGATGGACAGGGAAGCCTGGCGTGCTGTAGTTCATGGGGTCGCAAAGAGTTGGACATGACTGAGTAACTGAACTGAACCGAAGGAGATGAAAAAAATAGTGAAACTAATATTTATCCAGTACACTGTAATTTAAGACATTGGAAACATCGAGCGTTAAAGTACTTTATTTCATTGTCAGAATCTTCTCAAGAGGAGTTTGAACAGTTACTTGCCTTCTTCTCATCATATAACTTATGTGGAGCAAGTATTTTTTCTGTGCCTTGGTGAATTGAATTGTCAAATTCTTTTTAAGTTTGGATTAACTTCCACTCTGTCCATTGCCCTTTCAAGGTCTTGAAATATCTCTGAGAGTTTCTTTAGTGTGAGGCTTGCTTCTGGCGTCACTTCCTCTGGGCGTTGTCATCCTTTTTGTTCCTCATTTATTTTGATCCGTTTGCAATGACTAAGTTCCTTTGGCTTCATAGCTGCATCACTCCAAAGGACATGGTATCAGCACTCTAGGGTCTTTTCCTGTTTCTTGTGCAACCAGCCCATTTACAGTCCATTAGAATCCTATTGAAGCGACTTTACCTTGTCTTTTACATTCATGGCCCTTACCTTCTTGCTAGCCTAGGTCTCTTCTATCTTTGCCTTACTGTTGCCATCCTCAGATCTTCTATTCACATCCAATTTTCACTTCCAGCATCATCACATTTATTTCTTTGTTGAACTTTCATCTTTATGGGCTAATTCCCTCTTTTGATTATGTACTTTTTTGAAATGTCAGTGAATCTATCCCTGAAACCCAAGGAGGCAACATAATTTGCTATCTATGTTTGAACTGAGTAACGGACGTACAGTGAACAAGCATTGACAGACTTTGAAAAGACTGACATGTTAGTCACTGATTATGAGGCTCATCTGTTACTTACATAGTGATATTTGGACCAAAGAGTTGGCATGCAGTCACTTCAGTCGTGTCTGACTCTTTTCAGTCCTGTGGACTGTAGCCCTCCAGGCTCCTCTGTCCACAGGACCCTCCAGGCAAGAATACTGGAGTGGGTTGCCATTCCCTCCTCCAGAGGATCCTCCTAATCCAGGGATCGAATCTGCATCTCTTAATGTTTCCTGCTTTGGCAAATGGGTTCTTTACCACTAGTGCCACCTAAGAAACCCATCATACAGAAGTGGGTTGCCACTCCCTTCTCCAGGGAATCTTTCTGACCCAGGGTTTGAACCTGGGTCTCCTGCTTTGCAGGCAGTTTCTTTACTGTCTGAGAGTTGGCAGCTCTTATATAATTACTCACAGTTAAGATGTCTTGATAACTAACATTTGAACTGTGTTGTTGGAAGACAGGTGTCATTTGACTAAATTATAGCTCTGAAGTTCATGCATATTTCAATGAGCAAAGCAAGGAGTAGCCTAAATATTATAGATTATAGTAGTTTTGTGCAGTTTTGAATTCCTTTATAGGTTTTGACTTGCAGAAAGTAAAGCTGAATGATGCAATTGTCTGTGTTCTTTGTATGGTACTAATATTTTAATTTATCTAATAATATAACTTAATATCCTAGTATATGTTGTAACATTTGTGCTGTTTAAATTACACTCCAAATTCACATTTATAATTCTTTTCCTCTTATATGGCTGCATTTAAAATATCAAAAAGTTGGAACGAATCTTAGAAGTTAGTAAGGTTTGCCCTTAAGAAAAATGCTTCTAACAGATAATACTATAGATTCATCATGTTAAAATTAGCATAGTGATTTATCCCATACTTTTATAAGTACAAAAGGAATTCAGCACATACAGCACACTCATTTGATATCATAGAAGATTAGGACCTAGAAAATATCAGGGATATATTAACATCACAAGTCTGTCCAAAATATTTTTGGCATTGAGTTTAAACCCAATTGTTTGGCTCATGCAAGATAAAAATCTTTTTTTTTTTTTTGGGTACTGCTGTATTTGCCAAGCAATGTTTCTGTGGTTTTCAGATTTTGAATTTCCCCCACTTATATTTGTATCCAATTCAAATTGTTATAGAAAACGTATCACAGATTTCCAAATGTCTAGTTTATCTTAAAGAATTAAATTCACATCTGTAGAAAATGTACCCCTTTATGGGCAATATTCCTCATTGAATTTGCTAGCAATTTGCCACTAGATGGCAATGGTGATCTGCTTGTACTAAAATAAATTGCTTAAGTCCTGTGTTCATTTTAGAAATATACAAGCAGCTCATGCAGCTCAATACCAGAAAAATAAATGACCCAATCAAAAAATGGGCCAAAGAACTAAACAGACATTTCTCCAAAGAAGACATACAGATGGCTAACAAACACATGAAAAGATGCTCAACATCACTCATTATCAGAGAAATGGAAATCAAAACCACAGTGAGGTACCATCTCATGCTGATCAGAATGGCTGCTATCAAAAAGTCTACAAACAATAAATGCTGGAGAGGGTGCAGAGAAAAGGGAACCCTTTTACACTGTTGGTGGGAATGCAAACTAGTACAGACACTATGAAGAAGAAACGGTGTAGAGATTCCTTAAAAAACTGGAAATAGAATTCCCATATGACCCACTGCTGGGCATACACACCCAGAAAACCAGAATTGAAAGATACGTGTGCCCCACTGTTCATCGCAGTGCTGTTCACAGTAGCTAGGATATGGAAGCAACCTAGATGTCCATCGGCAGATGAATGGATAAGAAAATTGTGGTACATATACACAATGGAATATTACTCTTAAATATTGCTATTAAAAAGAAGGCATTTAAAGCAGTTCTAATGAGGTAGATTAAACTACAGCCTATTATACAGAGTGAAGTAAGTCAGAAAGAAAAACACCAATACAGTATATTAATGCATATAAGTGGAATTTAGAAAGGTGGTTAACAATGACCCTATATGCAAGACAGCAAAAGAGACACAGATATAAAGATCACACTTGTGGACTCTATGGGAGAAGGGGGGGGTGGAATGGTTTTATAGAATAGCATTGAAACATGTATATTACCATATGTGAAATAGATCACCAGTCCAAGTTCGATGCATGAAACGGGGCACTCAAAGCCCATGCACTGGGACGACCCTGAAGAATGGGATGAGGAGAGAGGTTGGAGGGGGGGTTCAAGATGGAGGACACATGTACACCCATGGCTAATTCATGTCAATGTATGGCAAAAACCACTACAATATTGTAAAGTAATTAGCCTTCAATTAAAATAAATAAATTAATTTAAAAAAAAAAGAAACTGAGAAGCAAGAGCCAGAGGGATATGGTGATAACACTTATCTGGATGCTTTGAGAAAGGGCAGTCTTCTACCTAGCTGAAGAGCCAATAGCATACAAAATAACACTTATTAAAATTTAGCATTTATTATGTCTTATACTCTTTGCATTTATTGATTCACTGGATCCTCACAGTTTCCCAATGCAGATGGGGAGCTATTATTATGTACATTTTACTAATGATGAGTTTGAAGTACAGAGAAGTTATGTAACTTCCTCTAAGGTCACAGAGCTGGCAATTGAGTTGGGATGTGAACCCAGGTTGGCAGGTCCCTCATGCCTTTACCATTATGTTACCACCCTCACCAACTTGTCAGTGTTAACTCTTGAGTAACATGTGCTTACCGTGTGGCAACTATTCTTTTATAGGGATGATTTTATTTAATCCTCAAAACAGCCTTATGGGTAGGCATTATCTTCTTCATATTGCAGGTGAGAAGACTAAGCTATATTACTTATCAACTTAAAGTACATTATACTAGTACATAAAATTTTTTGCTTACCAGAATAAGCTGGAATTCTCCAGGCAAGAATATTGGAGTGGGTAGCTGTTCCCCTCTCCAGGGGATCTTCCCAACCCAGGGATCAAATCTAGGTCTCCTGCATTGCAGGCTGATTCTTTACCAGCTGAGCCACAAGGCAGGCCCAGGAAACCATAACACAATGCAGTTACCTTGAACAATGTGTTATAACATAAAGTATTTAAATTAATTCATCAATCTTGTGATGTAGGTTTTCAGGGAGGATGACATTTTCCCTTCTTGGTTCTTCTGTCTGGTCTAGGAATTAAGTTGACCTGAGATAGATTAACAAGAGAAAAACAAACAAAAGTTTAATAACTTGTGTACTTGGGAGAGACTCAGGAAAACTGAGTGACTCTCCAAAATGGTTTTAGCTCTCACCTTAAATACTATTGGACATGGAGAAAGGAAGGGAGTTCCAAAAAAACATCTACTTCTACTTTATTGA